CAATATATCATTGCCAAATTGATCCTCTCTCTTCGGATGTAAAATGATACGAATAAATCAGATTATGGAGGGTCTAGTCACAAGTCCAAGCAAAGGACTATTCAATGTTGGCGATATGGGGTCTGCGGTAGACTTACCTCCATGTGGTTCACTCATACGGCACGCAAGTCTATTAACTGGCAGTTGACTTCTGACTTTAAGCTACCATCACCCCACTATATGCCATATTCGACTACTTCCACAGTACTCACCTCACCTTTTTCTACCTTTGTGTCTGCCTCTTTTACATCTTTGAAACACTCTTCTGTCCCCTCCTCTCGACTTTTTTCACTTTGATGTTCCTTTCCCTCTGTGACGCCTGAGGTCAACTAAAGAGCTAATGATAAATATCAAAACACCTGCCTTTTGGTATAAATAAATAAATGCTGGTGATATCTTGACTACATAATTGGCTATCCTCTTCGTCTCAAATCTCATTGGAATATCGTTCTTTTCCCCATGTTAAGGCGTTTCCCCATTATCAACACTTATGAGAGACTTTGTACTGCCGTAGGCAATACTGGTAATTTTCACTATTTATTAATTCATTCCTGCTCTATTGATTCCACAGCGCTTCGTTCTTGCTATCTTTGTTCACGAAGAGTCTACTTTGTTTAAATGTAAATTTCCTCAATAGCGTCTGGAATTATATTCCAATTAATAGAGACACTAATTAGACACCGCTCGCCTTAATATGGTTAAAATTTGAAGGGAGAAATTACTCATAGCGAGAATGTGACGTGTATCGGAGAGATAGATGGGGTCTTACTTTTCCTAAATCACGTCACCCTTTCACACCAACACAGAGTGAGACAAATGCACAGACATAACGGGAGAAAGGGGACTAACAGGATGCAAATGAAGAAAAGTTGAAACAGGTCACTCCCAAATGTGCGAAACCAACGACCACAAGATCGTAAGCGAGTAGAGACGATTGCAGGACATTAACATTGAGAAGCAGCAAATAACATTAACTAAGTGGTTGAGTAAAGCTCAAAAGACAAATTTCTGAACACGTAGACACAAGAGAAATCGATTTTACACAAAACTCTGCAAAATCGATATGCAACCGTTCTAAGTTCAAAAGCTATTGTGAGTCTTTGAGTTATCACTGCCATTTTCAATAACTACCCAAATATGATATATATCAATCTTATCAATCGAGAAAGTTGAAATTGACGGCGCTTATGCCAGTTCGACGCCTAATTATAGTTTGATATCAGCGTTAATACAATTAACTAGCGAGCAATGTTATTGGTAGACGATAATCTTATTTCTTTCATCAAAAGTGATACGAAGATTCCATCAAGACTCCTAGCATTATCGAGGAATACTCATACAAGCACTTATACTAACCTGAGGAGGACCATTTTTAATCTTTCTTTGAAGAGAAATGTACTTTGCCATCGTGGTTGGTTATTCAAGCTACTGAATGTGATCAGGGATCATCAATCTCCACACACAAAATTAATATGCGCTTCTCAATCTTATCCGACACCTCCCCTTCCTTTGGTAATATTTGAGGAGTAATTTTTGATGCCACTCAAAAATATAAATCTTTATCAGAAAAAACACATTTATATAACGATTTACACTTGTCACTGTCTCGCTACATGTCATCTGACTAGCATGTGCTGTGGTACATTTTATTTAAACAAAAAGATCGCATTTACGAATTGGTTTGAACATGCATACATTACTCTACATATAATATTTACTGAGATGAAAAAACGGCGAAAATTGGCAGATATCCGTCTTAAAGTTAAGATTCCTACCGAAATGCAGTGGTGGCTAGAGGTTCATGTGCCGCCAAAAACCTTCTTTATGACAGTATTGAAAGTATTCAACGTAATTGAACAAAAGTTGTAGTAGATTTTGGTTGTCAAAGGCGTTGGTCTGCCGTTATTTGCACTCAAAATGTAGCTCAAATTGTTCTGTTTCCAAAAGCGCCTACTCAAATTAAACAAGGTACTACTCCTATCGCTGAGTTTGTAGAACCGTCAGTTTGTACGAGACAACAAAATTTTTCTCTTTATAATCAATAGGGTTTAGTCATAATTGCAGTACAATCGCATTTCACCATTTATTAATTCTTTGTGTGTTATCTACTACTTGCTGTTAGCAATATTCAATGTTCCTGAAAAGGGGTGTGCGGTAGACTTACCTCCATGTGGTACACCCTGGGCAACGTATACTCATACGGCAAAAAGTCTATTAACCGGCAGTTGACTTCTCACTTCAAACTATTATGGCAAAACTATTTATCATATTCGATCCTTCTACAGTGCTCATCTTACCTTTTTTACGCTTTTGTGTCTGTCTGTCTCTTTTACATCTGTCAATCACTCTTCTGTCCCCCTTCTCGAGTTTTTGTCACTTTAATGCTAATTCTCCTCTCTCCCCCAAGTCAGCTCCAGGGCTAATGATAACTATCAAAACGCCTGCTATTTGATATATAAATAAATATTCTTAATTTTGCATTTTAGGCATGTCAAGAAAACAGTTCACACTGAAGAAAGGAATTAGGACTATAATGAGGCATCTAAGGAAACTTAGAAATAGTTAGTCAGTACACCTTAAGTAAAAGAGAACAGTTTAAATAAGCCTGATTTAACAAAAAACGTACGTTAATCCAGAAGAAAGGATCTTGATGAACGCAGGCACTTGAAGATTGCGAAGACGTAGCACCAGACACTGGGAAGGGTTTCCCCACAGTAGCAGTAGTTCCACTCTTTGCGATATAATTAATGAATTGACAAATTGGCGATGCAGGGCATCGCGCAGCAAGACAAGCTCGGTCCTGTTCCTTGAGAAATTTCACAGCAGCAATGTTACCATCGAGCTTCATGAGCACGCCCACAGGCTGATTTCGACCATCTTCTACGAAATGCACATCACTTAAGCACCAATCTTCGATTTCTTCATTGCAGGACATCTTAGATTGACCGGAAGATTTGGAGATACCAGGTTGTTGTTTGGTTGACTGTTGTTGAGAGACGGAGGGAACGAACGGCTGTTGAGAATCTGAACGAGATGTGGATGGTAAATTCGCACTGTCGGCGGAGTTACTTGGTACTTTCTTGCGTTCTAAAGTAGGGCAACAACAGAATGGATTAGAGTTGGCTATTACTTAAGAGGGGTGTGCGATAGACCTACCTCCACGTGGTGTACCCTAGGCAAAGTATACTCATACGGCAAAATAAGTCTATAAACCGGCAGTTGACTTCTAACTTCGAACTATCATGGCCCCACTGTATGCCATATACCACCACTTCCACAGTACTCAACTCACTTTGCCTTTTCCTCTACCTTTGTCTAATGCTCAGGGTTAATTCTCAGCGACAAATAGACCGATTAAAAACGGTTGCAAAAGCCATTTCTCGAACCATTTTTACATATCTTTAGATCCTATCAAATGATTAACAAATAAGAATGATAAATAAATAATCAAAAATCCTTAGATTTTTTATTAATGCCATTTGAATAAAGCATGAGAAAAATGTGACACAAAAAACAGAAAAAATAAAAAAAGTATCAAGAATTAACTTGAAACTAATAAAAGCAAGACAAAAAATACTAAACGCTTTAATTCCACTTTAATAAAATAAGGATAAAATGTAACATAATTAATTAAACTATTGTTGTAAAATGCATTGGAAGCTATAAATGAATAGAAACAAGAACTGTAATCAGTTTTCACGGGGCATGCTATTTTCGTCTAATGGGTAGAATAGCGGCAAAGTAGATTGTAAACATGAGAAAATCAAATTTTTGTAAATATCACTTCACTCAAGAACATGAAGAAAAGACATCATCATCCACGGCAAGAACAAGCGGCAATATTAATATTGAAATAACCATTTAGATAACCAATAACTATATAAAGCAGATAAATATTAGAGATATGCATGATTATAATTTTGATTAAAACAAACAGACAACTGTGCACACAGATGATAAATCAATTTAAATAAAAATGAGGAGTTTTGCTAAGGATAATGTGATTGTGCTAATTGTTTTCAAATTCGAAGAATAGCCAAGAATGCGTTTTGAAAGCCTTAAATCTACCACTACATTGCCTGGGGTGCGCGATAGACTTACCTCCGGCGTGGTGCATCGTGGCCAATGTTTATACTCATACGGCAAAAAGTTGATAAATCGGCAGTTGACTTCTCACTTCAAACTACAGTGACCCGACTGACTGTGTGTAATATTCCACCACGTCCACAGTACTCATCTTACCTTTTTCCTTGACTTTGTGTCTGTCTGCCTCTTTTACATCTGTGAACAACTCTTCCGAACCTTCCCCCTCCTCCCCCCCCCCACTCGACTTTTTGTGACTTTGAAGCACCTCTCCCCTGTGAAGCCCGAAGTCAACCAATAAAGGGCTAATGAAAACTATCATAAAGCATTCCATTTGATAATAAATAAATTTTGCAATTCACTTCATGACCAGTTGTAACCAGCGTGGCTGATCATGTCATTCACAAGGCCAATACGCACTAAAGAGCATTAAATCCAAGACCACTGGAAATAGACCTTGAACGCCAATAACAACGGGATACATTGATTTAATTAACAGAATCGTTACCGTTACTGATTAAAATCGGTAATAATATGAGGAATAATTCTCGATAATAAGCTATACTAGTAAATAAGCGGAATACTAAAATTCCCACCTAAATTAAATTAATCGGACTTAATGAAATTATAACAATGACCAGCATCAATAACAGTAGTAAGCAAATCGAGCCTTGGAGAAATGAAATTTCAACACTTTTTTCCTAAAGAGAGGAGAGCAAAATAGGGTGAATTTTGGAATGACTCAGTGAAGTCCAAATACACTTGAGTCACTAAACTATAACTAAAATGTACAAATAAAACATCTTTTATATATTACAATCAAATTAATCATTGCGAGAAATATTTACAGTAAAAAGTACTAGGTATCAAAAAATTCAATTGTCAAGATACCAAAAATAGAAATAGTAGAAAAAAAGAGGAGTGTGACCAAACGATAAAAAGAATGTTCCGGGCTTTGTTGACAAACGAGAAATGAAAGTATAAAGCAAACAATAAGAAGAAAATTCACACTAAAAATTGAGTTACAAACGCTAGATTGAAGTGGTGATCATTTAGAATTGGGCAAATATCGTCTTCAATGACTTTCAAGACCAACAAGCACAAGCATAAAACAACGCAGCATTCGAAAAGACTGAGGCTTTCAGCAAAGAAAATGGTCAAAGAAAAGAAGAAATAAATAAAAATAGATTGAACATAAACCCAGTCATAAAAAAACAGCACATTCCAAAGTGCTAAATGAGATAGCGAAACCTTTGCCTGATCCACTGATTCAGCTAATCAGAGCATGATAATATGAAGCAGATAAGAACTATAGACCTGCTTTAAAGTATAAAAGCCAGTAGAACTGGGCATTTGAAGCTGATAAGAGAACAAATTATGAAAATTAGAGATAGCATTCGTGATCACAAAACTTTGAGCATTGTATTAAAAGAACAAGCGATTAATTTTAGCAAAAATATTGAAAGTTGAAGGGAGAAAATACTGGAGGTTTGTTTGAATTGTGTGGCAATGACCCGGACAAATTAGGATTGACCTTACACGAATAATTAAAAGTTACCCCATATGTGCTTTGGCACCAATAGATATTTAGCCAACATGAAGTCATTTAAAAGCAAGGGCATAAAAATCAACATTATAACCAAAAGGAGGCACATACTGAAAGTTCCAGGAGAGACTTTGACGGGTGCAGATTGATCAGAACACGTGGAAGAAGCTGGAGATGGAGGAGGGGGCATTTCGACAGATCCAGTGTCCAACTGAGAGGACTCGTGTTCGATTTGTGAGGCCGCTGCTGCTGCATAGGCCGCAGCAATCTCCTGAGCATAGGGACAAGTTAAAGCATGAGCAGCTTCTGTAGAAGCCGAATTAGAGCTTTTTCCACTAATGGTGGCATGAGGTTTCTCAGTAGGAAAATTCTTAAGCGAAGAAGGCGACTTCACGCGAAATCGACACACGTCAGTGAGCTTCCAAGAGTCCTCCAACAGGACACCGACTTTAGGAATTCCATTAATAAGCGTAAAGCCCACAGCCCCAGCGTGAAACATTGGAGCATTTCTCATACATACTAAATCCCCAGGATTTAGGGAAGGCGCGTTAGTGACCTTGGCTGCAACCTCAGATCCCTCACATACAGCCTGATTTCGTGTAGATGTGGACTCGCTAGTAGTAGTAGCAGCACCAGTGAGATTCTTCTGCTTATCGGCATTCTTTTGCCGAATATAGGAAGGCAAAACACCCCACCAATAAACAGACCCAGAAGCACATTGGACCACAGAAATGAGTGGTGCTACAGACAGAAGAACAATCTGTTCATTTTTTAATTCGCTGAAATAGGTAGCAGGATGTTCCAAACGAGACAAAGCAAGTGAAGCAGCGTTCAAAACTGCAGAGCTGGCTGGAAAGATGGATTGGAATAATGCGGAGAATATTTCATCCACCCACGTTGCAACAGCACCTGACGATGTTATAATAGACGCTCGTGTGATACAACCAGAGAGAGAGATGATTTTCTCTTGGGATATTCCAAGGCTTGCAGCTCGAGGATGACGATGATTGACAGTATGTCCAGACTCAGGTTGATCCAAGTTAAAGGGCTGGGAATATATGTTCTAAAAGAAAAGGATAAGAGGAGTTGAAATGTGGCTCTAAATGCTGCCCATTGCTAGTTTAAATAGTAAATTTGCAAGGCCATAAAGCATTGGAAATTTTTCATGCACAATAAATATTCCCTACTACTACGTACTTGCACTTGATTCGAATACAAGTGTGAACACTGTGGGACTGACTGTATAAGTTCCAACAAAGCTTATACAAAGTTAGGAATTTGAAAAAAAGGAAGAAACAGTTATAGGTGAATTCAACTCACATGAGGATTATAGGGTTCTGGTGATTGCCATTTCCACTGGTGCAATTCACCGCGCGTATTAATAGCAACGAGTTCGGTATAAAGCGCAGCAATGGCTGTGAAATGCGAAGGAGGCGATTCAGCCGAGATAGTCGTCCAAAATTCAAGTCGATCACCCAACTGAATATAACTACCAGCCCCTTTAGCGGTTCCACCATCCTGGTTGCCTTCGTCCTCTTTGTCATCTGAAATGCCTAGATAGGGCCAAATGCTGCGACCAGATTCACCTGAACGGAAATTCTCACTATTTCTAAGCAAATTCGACTCAAATCTTCGCCTTTTTCTTCGGTCAGTGTAAGTAGCATGATCTCCCAGAGTGCGATCTAGAAAAGTAACAAAAAAGAAACTCAAAAGAAAGCTACCAAAATCCATTAATATCGTCTCTCGTCTAAAACGAGGCGATGGCGTACGTTCTAAAAGCTCATCTGGTATATCGCTTTCATTCTCCATTAATAACCCCTCAGACTGTTGAATGATGGAAAAAACATCCATGGTATCATCACCCCAGTCATCATCAAGTCCAAGAGCGCTGGATGCATTATTAAAATCTGATTCATCTTCACGAGAAAGAAGATTATTAACCGCCGCATTGACATCTAAGTTTGTCCTTTGAAGTTCACGCACAATAGCTTGTCGAGATTTACCCTAGGCAAATAAATTAATGCTGTAAGATGAAGTAAATCAAAGTAATACCTGCAAGACCATTTGACATTGTTCAATAAATTCCTCAGGAATTTCAGATGCAGCTATAGGGGGACGAAAATACATACTACCTCCACGTTGGAGATCTCGGAGAATATTTATTGATCCCCTAGGTCTTCCGATAACACCCATTGAGCCGCGCAGACTACGTATGGCTGTTGCATTTCCAGTAGATCGAGCCGAACCGGAACTGCCATCTCGGTTTAATGATGCATCTCTACTTAAATCTGGATTACGCCCTTTCCTAAAAAAGGTATAATGGTAAAAAAAGTCACCCACTTTCGTTCAGATAAACCAACGAGTTTATCTTCAAGTAGCGAAAAAGCAACGCGGCAGACCCGACCGTCCTAAAGTGTACTTATTATTAAATATTTACGCATACATTAAGAAGAAATGCTAAATAACCGGGTCCAACAACAGTTTCAAGAATGATATAATCGACAAGAGGGCGTAAAACCTCATGGACAAAAACGCCATCTTTCTTTATACTATCACCAATATTTTTTAATCTAAAAGTGTTAAGAAAAAAAATGGAGGTACAATTCATAAAGATCCAGTTGCAGTTGAACCTGAGAAACGCCATCTTTATGTTTTTTGGAAACAAAAAAGTGAGGGTATGACATGCTCAAACCCAACACGGATAAATTGCAAACTGTTATTATCAATTATACAGCTAATTCAACCTTGAAAAATAGCAAATAATTTAAAATAAAAAGTTAATAAAAAATTCTATTAAAATTACGTCAAGTTTAAAAATAATAAAATTTAAAATAATTTTCTTCAATTTGTAAATAACATATGCTTTATATATGCTTATATTATATACTTTCCTTCATTACACGTCATTAATTTAAAATACAACAGGGAAAGGAATGCTTATTCCATAAAATATAGCCTGTTGTCACAGTGCAAAATAGATACTGAATGAATTTTAAAATATACTATTCATTTTATTTCCTATTTTCCAACTTTCTTACAAACCAATTTTTATTACAGATCGATAAAATTGACAAGCTCACCCCCTTTCTTTGAAACCTGGCCCGATTCGAACAACTTTCAATTTAATCGCATAATTGGCATAAATCAAAATTAATAATCCTGGTCTTAATATACTTCCCTATTCTAAAAATTATGCAAGAAATCCGTAAAATTGCTGTCATTCATTTAACTCAGAAAATTCATTTTTATACTTGGAAGGCAGACTTTACCTCAATATCAAATAGTGGCATGACTATGTAATTCAATGAAATACTAAACAGCAAATTTCAAAAGAATGTAAAGCTTTCCACAATACTTTTGCAATACATTCATGCTAAAAATAATGCTGTAAATAAAATTTCGAATGGAAAATCTAACGCAATATACGTGGGTATTTTTGGGCGAAAAAATAAAGTAAATAATATAATAAAAATAGTCTTTATCTTAAAAAATTCGCAATATTACAATAATAAATATAGTCTTTTTACATTTGTCCTTTGATATAATTTGTTAATATTTATAAAACTAACAATATTTTTATACATAATATGACCTTTAGCCTATTGTTTGATCGCATTAAATATATGGTACATTATTCTTTCACAAATGTGAAAGCCTTTGAAATCCATGAATACTATAAAGTTGTGAGCTTCGTTGGTATTAAGTTTCAGGCCTTAAAAAATATGATAGCATTTCTGTTTTTTGACGGCATATAAAAGATATAATTAATTTGTTTTTGATTGAATATTCCCATTGTATTAGTTTTAACATTGTATGCTATTAAAAGCCCAATTCATTTTCTTAATTGATCCTTGCCATTTTGCCGCAGTGATAATCATGTCAAGTCAGGATTTGCACACTTTTGCGAGCAAGTCAAGCAATAATACAAGCGGTATTATTCGACCTTCTAAACTCCCACTTTTCGGTCGACGTTCTTCTGATAAGCATCCTCCCCCACCAACTTCCCAATCCCCTGTGTGTACAACTCTTACTACCACTACACCTTGTCGAGTCAGACCTTCTACGACTGTCAAACCTTTCTTTGCCTCGCATTACCAGCCTAATACCAGCGTGAATGAATCTCAACGCAGACGGTTACCTCCAAGTCAACCCAATACAGCTGTCAGAAACAGCCAGCCAGAAACCAGCCAGGGTTATCAAAGGGCTCACCTGAGTTCTAGTAGGCCTTTACTACTTGAAATATAGAATAAACTTAGAAAGTACATTTTATATGTGCCTTTTAATTTTCCTCGATTTAGATTTGTTGCGCTCTTCAGGATCGTCTGTTTCCTCCACTTCTAAGAAAACTGATTCCTCCAGTGGAGTTATTCCCCAGTCACTATCCTTTTCCGGTTCTAGAAATGTCCAACAAAATTCGCAACTACAACAGCAGAATAAGTCTTCCACTTCTAAATCCAAGTCTTATAGAATGGAGAATATGTCAGTGGAACATCTGCAGTACCTTGAGCGTCGACTTCAACAACTACTTGAAGTTATTCCTTCTAGACCTGGTGAGTGTTTCTTTCATCGCTAAATATCCTTTCTTTTATTATATCGGTAAAATAATGTAGGGGTAAATAGAAATACTAGGTTATGTTTGCTTCAAAATGTATAATGTATGACCTTGTATACCTTTATCAATAGACTAGCTTCAATTTTAAAAGCTACATTTGTCCATACAACACTTAAGTATAAGGAATAGACTTTGTCATTTTCTGAAATGGGTTTTAAGCATAATCACTTACTAATGAACAAAATTCCAATCTTAAGTAGACCTTGATGCGTAAGGTCTCTCAAGTTCACTAAAACTTAATTTTAGTATTTGAATTTGCAAGATCTACGTTAATTCAATCTCGGTTTCGACTTTTAACTGGTCAACTAAACTTACCTCCAGTTACATTTCTATTTAAGAGTTATTTTGAATTTACTCCAAGGTAAAGCAAAAAGTGATTCTGGCCAGCAGTCATCTTACCCCAGTTGGATGGCTGTTCCTCCCCCTCCTCCAGGTCATAGTCTCCATCAGTCACATCAAGCGCTGCCTCATTACCCGATGATTACCAACCCCTATCACTTCCATCATCAAGCGGGGCCCACATTACTAATCTTTCCACCCCGCCAACATACTGGACCACCTCAGAGCACCACAGGGAGATCAGTGGTCTTCGGGGAGCTTGATCCTTACTACCTCTCCTCGTCTTCTTCAGCATCATTTTGCTATGCTGGATCTGAGACCTCGTCTCTCCAGGACTTCAATCGCGAAGAGGTAATTAGAATTTCAAACACCTTTTAAAATTTCTATTATTATTATCATTGCTGTTGTTTTGATAATTTATTAGTGTTGCATAATACAGTGATAGTATTAATTATTTCTCACCACTTATGTGTAACTTTGCCAATGCTGGATGATCTTAGAAGATGAAGACAAATAAAAATCATTGCTCTGTTAAAGGCAAGTCGACTATTTTGAGGCCAAACTTGTTATCTTCTATCATAATAATCGATGAATTTTGTAGCAATCAATTCCTGAAAATATAATAGCAGGTACTTTGGATACAAATTGGAGTGAAGTACAATTATAAATGACATTTTTTATATTGATGGGTGATAAAAGATTTCATCTAAGTGAAAATATATGAGGGTTAAACTGAATCCGATTGGAAAGTGACATTTCCCTTCATTTGTTCTAGTTTTTGGACACCAATTCTACATTAATCGTCCTTAAAACACCTCTCCTGAAAATTATTTTCTGTTTCAAAAACAATTACACTATCAAAATTGGTTTAATTCTCATAAATGGAAATTTTCGTACTATTTTTTTTAAATTAATTTCCTCGTTTTGTATTTCATTTCTGGAAGTCTTTATGATTGCAAAACACAAGTTACCGCAGCAGCAAACCTTAGTCTTTTGGCTTCCTCTCCTTCACCGAACATGCCCACCATCACCCCCCCCCCCCCCCTCCTTCCTCCATCCTCCTCCTCCATTCATGCCACCATGAACAATAACAAAAAATGCTGACCTTTGGAAAAGCATACACTTAGTGATGGCTTGGAGCATTCGCCTTTTGCGTGCATTATGGTGGCAGCGGATTCTGTCCATTCGGTATCGGCGTTATCCGGTGGGAGCGTTGATGTTGGAAGAGGGGTGAGAGGGTGGGAGGTTGAAGAAATTTCCAGGAATTCTTGTGTATATTCATTTACGACCTGCCATATGACTGTGGGATCCCGAGTGCTACTCGAATAGAAGGATATAATATAGAACTGCGTTTAAAATATTCTCCTATTAGAGATCTCATGTTGACATTTCTTATCTTTTTTTCGTTTATTGATTAATATCGATTAATAGTAACGTAAATTTTCAAAAGATGTGTCTTTAGTTCTTATCATACACAGAAGTAGCATTCTGTACAACTCCAATGAAAAGTTAACATTTCGGTTTATCACTTGTGATCAGTCATAAACATTTCATCCATGGGACATGCGTTGATTGGTTCTGAAATCGTGAAATCTAACTCGACAGGCTTTCGCTATCCCGATTTTCCAACTTAAAGTGCTTTCTGTCGACTCTTCGCTATTTGAATGAATGCACATTAATTGAGTTCTACAAAATTGTAGATGATATTTCCTTTTAAAGCCATTTGGAGGTTCAATTAAACGATAATTTCAATCTGTCTCCTAAGCCCATACCGTTCAGGTTATTATTATTAGTTTTCAATTATTCCAAGAAATCCTTTTGTTGTTGTAGTAGGTGTGCTGGAATTCCTCTCATCCAAGACCTATTTATTACCATTGTAATAGGAATGGTCGGTTCGTGCGAATAAATTTACGTACTTTTGTTGCAATTATACACACAATTGGCAATTGGCAATTTATTTATTTGTATCGAATGGCAGGCTTTATGATAGTTACCAATGGCCCTTTAGTTGACATCGGGCATCATTGAGGGGAGAAACATTAAAGTCACACAATGTCGAGAGAGAGAACAGAAGAAAGATTAACAAGTGAAAAGAGACAGACACAAATGTAGAGAGTAAGGCAAGATGAGTACTGTGGAAGTGGTCAAATATGATATAGATTCGGGTCGTGGTAGTTTGAAGTGAGAATTCAACAAGTTTATGGACTTTTTGTCATATGAGTAAGTCTATTGCGTTCTCCTCGAGTGATTGTATAAAGGTTGATTTCTTAATGAAAAAAAAGTAGTTTTGTCTTACTAACGAAAAAAGTCTTGATTTTGTTCAATTTGTTTGCGATTTCTGTTCAAATTTTAAGCGAATAGGAAATAATCTGGAACTCTACAGTCGTGCAAGAAATTTAATCCAAGACAGATGGTGGTTTAAATTTTTACTTTCGTGTGCGTTCAAAGGTGAATTCATTATTCCCGCCAAATCCCCCCCCCCCAATGCATCGGTTGTGGTACTAAAGGACACACAACAAAATCCCATTTGCTCATTGTTATTAGGCCTGTCCTCTTTCCGCTCTCGCTTGCTTTATTACAGCCCATTTCCGTTCTGTGGAAACTCTATTCGCACATTTCGATGAGTTGACAATGGGTTACCACCCCCACCCCCCCCCACCCCCCCCCCCCCGACGAATCACTTTATACGTAAGGAGGGGGAGGGGGGGGGACTTTAGTGTAGAGTGATCGAATGTGCGAATAATAACGATTGATGAAAAAAACAACTCATTATTTCTCCAATCGATTTTAATATACACAAAGTCGAAGTTTTGTCGTGAGAATACAAGAGGTAAGAGGAGGGGGGGAGGGTGTCCGGATCTGCAAGTGTCAAGAAAAAAAGGTCAATGGGGTCTTGAATTCCACAATTCATTATTCGTTACTTAGCAAATTCTTGTCCACAAGAATCCAGTAGACAGTCACAGTTCACTTCTCTTTCAAAGCCCCCAAAAAAGAAATAATTTTCTGTGACCTTAAACAACCTATTGAAGCAGTGACCTTCAGAGTTTACTCGGGGTGCATTAAAACATTTTATAGCTCATTTAGCCCTTTCAATTTTATTAATTCCTCTCAGACGTATGACAATCGGTTTGTGAAATATGCGTGCCTGTGCAAGGCTATAAATTAATGAAATCGAACAGACCTGAAAACCGGCATGTTCAAAGTCAATCTCCTCCAACATCCACTAAACGTTCGGAAATACATCACAATTAACAAAGTGATCTATAAGCAGGGACGTCTTCAGAAAATGGAGTTTTATTCCCTCTACCTTGGGTAAATGCATCGAAAATATTTTTTATTTGTTTATATCAAATGGCAGGCGTTTTGATGGTCATCATTAGCCCCTTAGTTGACTTCAGGCTTCACAGAGGAAGAGGAACATCAAAATGAAAAAAGTCGAGAGGGGAGGGGGGTAACAGAGGAGTGTTTCAAAGACTAAGGTAGAGAAAAGGTGAGGTGAGTAACGTGGTAGGGGTCGAATATGACATACATTGGGGGTGATGGTAGTTTGAAGTGAGAAGTCAACTGCCGGTTAATAGACTTTTTTGCCGTATGATGAGTGCAAGTTGCCCAGGGTGCACCACGTGTAGGTAAGTCTATAGCACACACCTCGCATCGAAAATATCGTATTAAGTGGTACTATTGATTGAATGTGAAATTTTGATTCATGGTTCTTTTTTCACTCTCTCTGAACTAAATATGTTGAAAGTTTTCTTTTGTTCAATAAAAGTACACATTTTGACAATCTCTTTTCAAGAAGGCCAATTTAAAGCACCGCTTTTTACAAGATATTCTATTTTCAGCCAACTTGTTATTTCTTAGATATTATGCCCAGCGAAATTGTCATTCACTTATCTCACCCACCCATTTTGTTGTGAGAAAATAATACTAATATTTCTTGATAAATTGGCAATATTTTGTTCCCTTAAATTTCCCTTTATCCTCTGTGATACTCCACCCAATATCTCCCAATTCTTTATTCCGAGCAGGTGGAATTCTTGCTGTGGAATGCAGTACCAGCAGGAGAGGATGCAGCAATGCGAAATATTTGTGCTTTGGGGTGAAGAGGAAGGGAGATGTGACTGCTGTTGGAATGAGGGCCAAAAAGAGGTTAGTGCAACAGACTGTAGCCTCTCTCCCTTGATTGGCCTGGTGCATACATGCAAGTGCGGAGGTGCTTCATGTACAGCGCAGTACACATCGTGAATAGGGGGGGTGGGGGGGGGGGGGGGGGGG